GCTTGAACCTCGGTGGTAATTCTTTTTAATTTTAAATCTTAATATTTTTGGTTCTTTCTTGCCTGTTCTTCAATTTCGGTTGGAATTTCTGTCGTGTTATTTCCATTAATCAGTTTATCAGATATTGTACTGCTTGCATGTATCCAAATCATATCTAAGTCCCCTGTCTCTAAATCAGTTACTGTGTTGTTTATCACCATTAGACTATAGACTTTTGAAGTGAGTACAAATCAAAGAAAAGACCGCAATCCATCCCATATTGTCAATAACAGATCCTCATTGCCAAGATGTGTTGGAAACAAAATATACCATTTGTCCTTTATTTATTTCTCTTTGAAGAAACCAAAGTATAACTCGAAAATAGTGGAATGAAGTTATGAAATGTAAGCCATGTAGCTCATTTAGTGCACCAAACCACGAAAAGGGCCAAGTTCAATCACCAAAGGAAAAGAAACAGCATGGTTTTCATCATGTGTGGAAGTTATCACACTATCAACTCAGAGAGATAATTGTCACCAAAGTAATGAAAATATGTAAGCAAAAAATGCTTTCTTTACCATTTTCCTTGCTGAAAATTTTGTTTCTTAGCACCAGAAGGTAATGTACAATTCCCAACCAAAGAGGCAAAAACACCAATCTGCAGATGCACTCATCAAGTATCAGATAACTAAGAGTAATTGAAATACAACTAACATGACTCCAATATTAGAGGAAGTGCATCAAAATTTACTATTACTTCACCTACATCAGATAACTAGCTATGCATCTAATTAATATTCAGATAATCTTGCATCTAGTCCAACATCTTCCGTCCTCTCTCCCCTTGTTCCTTTTTTATTTTTTCAAGTTTCCAAATCGTCTGTGCCCTTTCATTCCCAACCATTCTATTCGTATCTTTTTCATTTCCGCTACTAGAGAATTATCCATTAAACACGGGCATAGCTACAGCTTCGGCCATAACCAGTAGGTTTGGCTCAAATCTTGTATTTGTGTTTAAAAATCCACTTAATATGCATAAATAAGTTATCAATAACCTAGTAAAAACCGTTTTCTAGAATCCATAAACTCAAAATCCTAGCTCAGCCTCGATTAAACATGGTTTAGCAAATCATGTAAGTTGCCTAACTTACATTTCCCACAACATCAATCGTAATGCCAGTTCTTTCCGTGTTTTGTTACACATCAAAAAGTTCCCTCTATCGCCATAAAAACACTAATGTAGCATCTCATTTCCAATTTTGAGTTTTTTCCAGTCCAAATTCCATAAGCAAGAGCTCCGAACTAGCTATTTCCCCTAATTCCCAAGCGAATTAAATTAAATGAATTATGATATCAATTAAACAGTTTAAAGCATTTTGGAAAAAGCAATTATAATCACAGAAGTAACAATTACGGCAACAATTTCAACAACAAAAACGCAATTAGTTAAATTATGATCATAAGAGTAGATATGAAAAAATATGCAACAGATCGTAAATTTTACTTACTGGATTTGCGAGAAGAGATAGGTAATTTCACCGGCGAGAGATTTTGAGATCGACAGGGATGGGTGATATTTTCCGGCGAAGATCAGAGAAGAAGTGAAGAGGGAATTGGGTATTAACGGTGACGGTAGTTGAAGATGGGCTTAACGATCAACTATTATTGGGCTTTCGGAAATTAATTGGACTCAATGTTTATGGGCCTTTTCTTAACCAATTTGAAGTTTAGTAAAATAATACGATAATTGAAGTATAAGAAATAACAAGCGATAAAAGAAATTAAAGGATGAGAAACTATATGAGTAATACTAGGACTAATAGCGTGGACGGATAGCAAGACAACACACACTACTGCCTAACTTCCTTAGCCTGATACGTGCCCTTCATAACCTTATATCTAAGGTCATGTCCTTGGTAAGTTGAAAATGTGTCATGTTCTGTCTAATTACCTCGCCCCCAAATACTTCTTCGACCTACCTCAACCTTTTCTGAGACCGTCCATTGTCAACCTCTCATACCTTCATATTGGGACATTCATGCAGCTCCTCTTTACATGCATAAACCATATTAGTGTTGCTTTCCGCATCTTGTCATTCATCAAAGTCACTCTCATGCACTTTGTCCCCAAATATCCTCATTTCTAATCATGTCTCTTTAGTATGCCCACACATTCTTCGCAACATCTCATCTCCGTAGCTTTCATAATTTGAACGTGAAAGTTCTTGACTAATCAACACTCTATCTCATACAATATAGTAGGTTTAACCACCACTTTTTTGTCAAACTTGCCTAACATTTCTTTCCTCATGCTTTTTAGTTGATAATCTATTTTTAACATATACTCGTATGTTGTGAGACGTGTTTATTGTATGTTACGGGTATATAGGTATCATTTGTTAAATGGCGTGAGTATATATGCATCATTTTTTTATTAAGAGATATATTCATTCTAAATCACAAAATTAACCCCTTTTTCGTAAAGTAAATATGATTTTTAACATGGCTAGAATTAATAATAGACTAATTGAAATACCCTACTTTATAATTCACCAATAATGATGATAACCTAATTTCTAAAAGGAGAATAATTCCAGGAATAATGCTATTCTATGAAAACTTTTGATAATGACATTATTTTGAAAAAAATATTTCTCTACCTTTTCCTATTTTAATTTGTGGTCCTCATTGTCTTAACTCTTAAGAATAATCAATCAGAAAATTCTGTCTTCAATCAGTTCAACTTGCAATGAATTTGGGGCTTAGCTTTTTTCTAATCACTTGGTTGATTTTTAATCGAAATATTGATATATTCCAACAAATTTAACATTTTTCTTTTTCTAACAAAATTCAATATTTCAAAGTGGGGTGGTGGCGAAAAAGACCTATGCTAGTCTTTGCGCCGAAGTTATATGAATGAAAATAAAACTAGTAAGTCAAATATACGAGGTTTTTGGAACAAGTTTTTAGTTAAGTTCAAATTAAAATTTTATTCGTGAATGTAATGGTATAAATCTATCTTGACTATGACATTAACTGATTAAACATTGTAATTTTTACAAATTAGTGTGAGCTAGCTGTGTATTAAAAAAAAAACTTTAGGTCAAAATCAACATAATTAGCTAAGAAATCTAATATAATTTTTTATTTATTGATAGTGAAATCCATTTTTTGAAAATATCTCAGGTATTAGATTCAATCACTAGTGGTCCACAAAGCCAACAATTTTTTTTATCTTATTTATTGTTTTTATGGTTTGTTAATCACCCAACAATAAAAATAACCACTAATTTTCTTTTATTTTCTAGTCCATATTAGATTTTTATTTTAATTTCGATTAATTTGAATTCACGTTAAATAAAATTTATTGAAGGAGAAAATGGTTTTTCTACTAAAATCTTTCTCATTTTAAAGTTCAAACTTAAATCTCAATTTCGTCATTAATTTTGCATAAATATATTAAAAGAATTGAAAATGACTCATTAGTTAAACAAAGTCCAACTTACTTATTTGATAACATAAGCTACCTTGGTCCCTCCACGTGGCACCACCACATGTGCCAGACAAGGACATAATACTTGACACAACTAGACACATGTAAAGATTTTCTCACATAACTACTAAATTATTATTATTATATTATTTAATTGTCATTTAAATTGGAGTAGTTTTCAATTTGAATTTTATCTTAAGTCAAAAAAACTACTATTAATTAATATGTAACTTGTTTTATATAATGATGTAATAGATCTTCCTTTGTAGAGTATCTTACAAAAAAAATGAATTAAATAATAAACATGTATAAAATTAGTAGAGTCCCACCAACAAAACTTAATCCCCACAGCACCCCAAAAAATAAAACTTCAAAGTTATTGCAATGTCACTAAGGAAACTTCAAAAAATTGTATTTGAGTGAGCAAGGAAAATTCCTTTCCAAGTACCAAAAGGAAATTTCAAAAGTTGTTGTTCAGACATATTCAATATTTATATTGAAGACTCGATTAATTTAGACGTGATCCGTGTAAAGCTTGAAATGCGTGAGCAAGGAAATATTATTTTCAAGTGTCAAAGGAAACTCCTCCATTCATATTCAGACCTCCACTTGTGTTGAATTGTGTGATTGAGCTTTTTAAATGAGATGGACACACAATTCAATATAATATTATTAAACTTCTCTTTGGATCAAATGTCTCAAATTCGAGTCTTCAAATGAAAAAAATTGTGATATTGAGCATTTCTCCGTTTAGTGGACCCCACACAAGGCAAATCTTGATAAATCAAGCTAGTAGATTGCAAGTAGTGAATGTCCAACCAAAAAACAAAAAGAGAGAGTCACAAAAACTTAACATATTCTACTATGTAAGTGAAAAAAAAAATATATCAAGAGTCTAGTTGGGAGTTGGTGGACAAATGAAAAAAAAAAAAATCAGTATAGGAAACAACTTCTTCATAGAGATCCTTTTAAGACAAGCAACCTCTATTGTGGCAATGACACTGACAACAGTGGCAAGAAACTAGGAAAGCCACGCATACAACATATCCAGTGTAATCCAATGAGTGGCGTCTGGTGTGTACAGAGCCTTACCTCTACCTTGTGAAGGTATGTATGTTATTTTCGATTGAACCCTCCGCTCAAATAAAACATATCAAAATCAATAAAAAGTCTTTCTTTTCCATACCCAAGATGGTCTTATGGGTAGCAGCCTCCCACAGAGAGATTACCTTGTGGTCAACTTATATTCTGCTTGTTGGAAGGTCTGTCTGGATCTCTTCCCCGATCAACCCACTCAATATCTAAGAGAGGGTAGGTTTTTGACGGCAGCAGAGACGGCGGATAAAGCAGCGGATGATACGGACTTGGAAATAAGCAGACCATAGATAAGTTTTTTTAGTGAAGAAGCCATGTAGAAAAAAGTATAGTAGCCACAATCAATAATACGATATCCAAAGCAAATGAAACAACATGTAATAATAGAATCGAGTCATATTAAAAGAATATATACAAAAAAAATAACATGAGAATAGAGTCAAAAACCATAATCATACTACTCTATTTCCACACTAAACTCCAAGGAAAATGCACCTTCACTTTTTCTTATATTTTTAACAAAGGATCACAACTTGACTAGCTAAAAGAATAGCACCAAAGCCTTTGTGGCCAAAGAATGAGACTGATCAATTGAAACCTATTCTTGTCTACATAATATGCAACTAACAACAAACCAACTTCAATCTATTATGCTAAATTAGGCTTGAAAATGAAGATGTCAATATGTAAGGAATGTTGGCAAGAGGACCTCTCTGGCATGCAAGTTCATGTATGTCCTTCACAATATCAAAGACAGCATTAGGTTGTGCAAGTTTCAGCGCGTTCTCTGACTTCCTTTTAAGTTCGTCGCTTTTGGTGGTAAACCATTCTGCAACAATCCGAGCTGTTTCCTTGGGGCGTCGTGTGAAAACGCCAGCTCCATTGTCAACTACAAACGGAACATTTCCCTTCTCCTGAAGATACACAAAAAGGGATGAATCAATAACAAGTTCAAATAAGCCACCAAGACTCAACTAGTCAACTTCTATAATTCACTAACTTGTCCGGGGATGTAGTCGTTCAGAATAATGGGAAGACCTCTGATTAATGCTTCTGCAATTGTACCAGGTCCAGCCTATAAGGTGCAGAAACAGAATTTTAGCAGTTGCGTGAAACAGGCGAGATAGTTTGTTGTAAAATTAAGTGACAGATTGACATACCTTTGTGATAATACAATCACAAGCGCCCATCCACTTTTCCATCTGTTTCTGAAATCCCTTGATCTGAACATTAACGAATATAAGATACAGTCAGACCTCTCTATAATAGTCACCCTCTATAATAACATTTTACTACAACTGTCTAATTTTCTTTGGGAAACTTTCATATTATGTTTTGTAAGCCATCCATCCTTAAAGGTTGTCGTTCCATTTACCTGAACGGGGATGTTCCATTCAAGTGATCGTAATGTGGATGCTAAGGCTTCATTGCGTCCACATATGACAATCATTTGACCGATAGGTTTGCCAAGTTCCTTATCGAAGAGTGCTTCTCCAAGAGCCTTTGCAGTTTTCTTCACAGGACCCATCCCTTCACCACCACCCATCAGCAAAACCGCTGGCAATGTGGGATCCATCTCAAGTTCTACTCTAAGGTCATCCTACCGAAAGCATTGAGGAGGAAAATAAAAAAGAAGATTACAAATTAAATTTTCTTCTCACAAATGAAAAGGGAAAAAATGTCTTGAAGTGGAAAGAAAGAGAAATGGAGCCTTTTTCCAGACATTCACCTTGGAAAGAACTGCCCGGCAAAACGAAGGCCGGATGGGCAACCCAAAAACACGTATTTGAGATCCTTCCAAGCGATCTAGTGATGCCCTCTTTGCTACCTCCTCAGAGGGGCAGTACAAACGATTGACTCCTGGATGAAACCTGAAATAGAATGTTTTCATACGTCAGATTGTTATACGATATGAATGCATTAAGACTCTAGAATTCGTTAGCTATTTACCATGTCCGGTGGCAAGTGTTGAGATCCGTAATGACGGTTACGAAAATAACTTTTTTCTGTAGGCCTTGCCATTTAAGAACCCATAGAGGAATGTGTTGCATGAGAGGATGAACACTAATGATTATGTCTGGCTTGTACTCCATCAGGCCAGCTTCTACCTCTCTATAAATTCAACAATGCAAACAGAAATTAGAAACCCCTACAGAAGTTGGACGCTAAAAAGTTCAACACATTACTTAAAGAACATTCATCTCCAATTTTCTTTTGAATGAAGTACCAAATGATCCATATCTTCGAAAAAGATCAATTTCCTACGCAACCATGACAGTAAATCGTTTTTAACATCCTAGTAACAATTTAACGAGGCACAAGTGGTCATTAACAAAGGGAAAATCATAGAAAGAGTACAGTACATACAGAATCAAGAAAAAAATAAAACTCATTGAGCATTCCCCTAGAAAGAGCATTGTACATATAACAACAAAAAATATCTCTAACTTAAGACAAGGCACAAAAAGTTAAAAACAGAGAAGACAGCAACCTACTTAGCATAGAAGGCGGCAATAGCAGCAAGATAGACAGAGTGTATCCAACGAGGCGACGTGCCATGAAATGCAACACTCCAAAGGCCAACATGTTTAACCATGAACTTGTATTGTTGCTCCATGTTGTTCAATGGCCAGCCAGTGTATTCCTTCCAGACATCCTTCACAAAAATCTGCATGTATAGTCCACATTAGGCAAGATCTATTTGAAATCATGGTAGGTCCAATGCACCAAAGACTTTTGTATCTCCCTAGACTATGAGAATCATATCAAAGTAATAATAAGACAAGAGTTTGGCAAGATGCTAAAGAAGCTAAATGACATTTTATTTTGCCATAGCTTCTTCTCTCCCGTTAATTCTTTTCTTCATCTGCTCTGAAATGCTTTTCCTTGAGCCGAGGGTCCATATGAAACAAGCTCAGTGTAAGGTCGGCCTACACTCTACCCCCTCCCCGGACTACACTTGTGACCACACTGAATATGTTGTTGTTGTTGTAAATCAATATGCCATAAAAGAATATAGTTTTGAGGTTACAAAAATAGGAGAGGAAGAGAGTCTAAAATATGGTTTTGCTTAAACCATAGCTTGTAACGTCATTATTAAACATCAAACACGCAATCTGAATATCTGAAACAAGGTTTACTCAATTTTAAAATAAAAAATTTGACCTCATTAGATGGACCCCATGGGACCACACGCCATTGACATGTACTTAACAACTAAGCAAGCAAATCACAGAAGCTCCAAAAATTCCAAGAGCCAAAAACCAATCTAGTTAAACAAAATCAGAAAAACATCAAAGATACAACAACTTCAAACTAGTAATCCCATAAGCAGGGTCCAGAGAGGGTCGAGTGTACGCGCACCTTACCTCTACCTCGAAAGCTAGAGAGGTTGTCTCCGATAGACACTCGGCTAAAGGAAAAGCATATCAAAGCAGATATTAAGGAAAACATGACAAAGAGTTCTGGAAAAAAACACAGATAATTGGAGTACAAGAGATAGTAGATAGTAACAGAAATAGGAGGACAAGAAACTAAATGAGAAATAAAAGATCGAAGATGTGTAATCAATTAAAAGGAACAAAAACTTAAACTTACTCTATATTCATCCCCAAATTCTAACTTGAAAGCATCTCGAATTGCCTCAGCTGAAGCCCTATGTCCACCACCAGTATCACTCATCAAAATAAGCACATTTCTAGTCCTTTCAGCACCAATCTGCACCATTTCCATGGTGTCATATTCTTCATCTTGAAAATCACACTTTAATCTCTTCTGGCTGCTACCACCAACAAACCCATAAACCCCAACTCTCTCCAACACTCTGTGTATAGATTTCCTAGGGGTAGTCACATTACTCACCATATTCTAACCTCTTTTTTTCACCAATCCTAACAATAAGTTACCTGAAAAATGTACACAAAGTGTCAAATACCAACCAGTAAAAGGACAGAGAGAAGGAAAAAAAAAAGTAACTTTCAACCACCCTTTTACCTGAAATTGGGTTTTCTGGCAAAGATCACAAGAACACAAAAAAGGCTTAAGAAAATCCAAGATATGGACACCCTTTTTCAAGAAGATGAATGGTAGATATCTAGAGAATAAATGGGTTGTTAACTTTCTATATCCGGTAAAACATCAAAAGAAGTTGAGTAAAGTTAAAACAATAACAAGTTTTAGTAACAAATTTTAAGAAAAATCAAAACTTTGGACTTACAGAGCTAGACAACACAAGTAAGAAGAAAATAGGGTACTGGTTCAACAAATTTTAAGAAAAATTCAAGATTTGAACACCCTTTTTCAGAGCTAGACAACACGAGTATGAAGGAAATGAAGGGAAAGATCAAATTTTGGACACCCTTTTTCAGAAAAATGGAGATTACAGAGCTAGACAACACAAGTATGAAGGAAATGAAGAGAAAGATCAAATTTTGGACACCCTTTTTCAGAAAAATGGAGATTACAGAGCTAGACAACACAAGTATGGAAGAAAGATCAAATTTTGGACACCATTTTAAGGCCCTTTTTCTTCTTCTTAAGAAAATGGACCTAGACAGTACAAGTAAGGATGAAAAAAGGGTACTAGCTCAACAAATTCAAAGAAAAATTCAAGATTTGGATACCCTTTTTCAGAAAACGGAACTTTATATAACAATTCTAGATTTGAACACCATTAAAGACCCTTTTTCTTCTTCTTCAGAAATTGGAGCTAAGACAGTACAATTATGGAGGAAATGGGGTGGTTTTTTTCAGTGCAATTATAATAAGAGGAGAAGGGAAGGTGCTGTTTAAGATACTGGAATGATGCCTTTTTTCAGTTCAAAATAAAAAGAATGATGCTTTACAGGGAAAACACAATAATGGCGGAGTTTTTCATGGATTTATAGCCGTCGGATTCATTCTGCTTAGAGAAATTTGGAATGATTCGCATATTGGGGTAGGAAACTTCGAATGTTCTTGGAATCTTTTTTAAGTAGTATTAGTTTAATAGTGGTAATTAGTGGCATACACCGAATTTTTAGTAAGCGGTGTAAATATTTAAAAATTAATAAATAATAAATAATAAATAATTAATATAACTACATTATATAAATAAAAATTATTTAAAACGTACTAATAAAACCTAAGTCAAGTAAACTACTAAACTTTCCTCGACGATTTTTCATATTTGAAATGTATTGATAGCCTCATTGGAGAATGGAGATAGTACTAAATATTTTAGTGCAATTGATTTAATTAGGCCTAATTTGATTATAAATAGGAAGTTGGAGGTTCGAATCCCTATAAAATTAAACTTTTCTCGGAAAAAATGTTTCAAAAATAAAAGCCAAACTCGACATCATCGAGGCTCGAATCAAGCCACGCCTGGTAAGAAACTTCGAATATTCGAATGGACAGATTTGAATCTTTTTTAAGAATTAATATTAGTTTAATAGTGGTAATTAGTTTTAACAATTAGTATTAGTTTAATAGTGATAATTAGTGGTAGTGGTGTACGCAAGATTTTTAATAAGCGATGTCAATATTTAAAAATTAATAAATAATAAATAATTAATATAATAACATTATATAAATAAAAACTATTTAAAACGTAAGTCAAGTAAACTACTAAACTTTCCTCAACGGCGAATGACCATTACATTCGCTCTGCAAACCAACGAGCCAAGAAGCTCAGTTGTTCAAGAAGTGTCATTAACATTATCAATAGGAATATTTCTATTTTTCAGATTTTTTAATATATATATATAATACTACAAATTTTCAACGAAGCAGTGTCGATCGACACACCATGACATAAGGTGGGTCCTCCCCTGATTAGTGGTATTTTTTTAGTGAGCTAATGTTATAAGTTATTTAATCTAAACATATTATAACAGCTTAAGGCTGGAGATTAATTAACAATAAATCGGAGATTTGGAACGATAGATTGGAGATTTGGAGATAAGCTCTAGAGTTTAAAGGTTTCATGTAGAGTAGGATTAAAATAGAGTATATGGAGTGCAAGTCAAATGTTGCATTATAGGAGGCGGATGGAGAGGTGGATAACAATGAAGAGTTGGTTTTCTATGTGATGTAAGAAGGTGTCATCGAGACTTAAAAGTTAAGTTTTATAGACAAGATTGGAGTAGCTTATTTGATGGACAAGATATGAAAAACGAGGTTGAGATGATTCAGAGATGGTCTAATGAAAAGGTGTGAGAGACTCACTTGATAGTTTGAGGAGAGGTAGAGTTAGACAAATGAAGAATTGGAAAGAAGTTATTAGACATGACACATCTTTAACTCACAGAAAATCAACATGATCCTAAATAGGAGAACATGAAGGTCGATGATTAGGATACGAAGAGTTAATAAGTAGTCGAGTGTTTTGTCTCTTCCAAGTGTTAAATGACTAGATGGGAGTTCTAGTCTGGAACGTTGTTTTTGTTCCTTTACCAGTATTATCGTTATTATTATGTTAACATTATCTTATTCTTTGATTTTATCATAATTTCTTTTATTTTGTTATTTTACTATTTTATTGTCAATACTTTCTTTTCTTCAATATCCTTATCATAACTTCTTATTTTTGCATTATGAAATTTTCTTGAGTCGAGGGCCTATCACAAAAAATGTGTAAAATTTACCCTTCTCGGACCATACTAACATTACTGGGCATATTATTATTGTTGTTATTATTATTGTTATAAAAACTATTGTTGTTGTGGAACATTTGGATGTGCAAATTCAACCTTTTTCAAAAGTATCATTTTGATGGTAATTTGTGTTATTAGTGAAATGATTACTTTATTTGATTGTATACAATTTTATATATATAAAAAAAAATCTTAAATATGTTATAAACAACACTCTTGCTATAAAAGCATGCCATTAAAATAAATATAAAAATTTTAATTTTAATTATTTTTGGATGATAAAACAAAATATCATTTAAGGGCATGAATGTGTGTCATAAAAAAAATTGTAACTAAAATGATGTTTCTCGATTTAATATTGTTTGACATTATTTCCTTATCAATTCGTCAAAACAAAATGATATATTTTTATATTTTCTTGTACTTATTACAACAAATGATACGTCAATTTGAAGTCATACATTTCAAAGTTTTAAAATCATTACATATATAGAATACTTATTATCAAAAGTTTAGAAAATTCACACTTTCTTTGATTAATTTTATGTCAAGTCAAATAATAACGACAATTTAATAAAATTTGGAGATTTTTGTCTTTTTGGCCCTGTTACTTTGATGGAAAACTTTCAAATTATTGTTAACTGTTTTTGAAGTTATACTTTTCATCATTTTTTGTCATTGTCCATTACAGTTGTGTTAAGCCTACAAGTGTTGGCATCACCTTGCTATATAATTGTGGCCTTCCATTTATTAATTACCCTAAAAATATTTTTAGTTTTTCTCATACATAGCTTTCATGGGTCGTGATTAGCTTTTCATTAATTAGACAATTTTGGGAATATATTTTGGGATAATTTTAAAGATCTTTTTTAGGTATCGCTTCATAAAATTAATTTTTTTGTTTTAATTTTAATTTTTCTGTAATATTAGCCTCTGGAATAAATTTTGATATTAATCGTGTGTGAAATTTTTTAAATTCGAAGAAAAAAAAAATTGGCCAAAAAATTTTGAACATTCATGACTAACATTTTAGTCAATTTTATATGCACTTCAATCATACGTACATCATGATACATGAAAAATTCAAACACATATAAATGATATTTATCATTTTTACATTTACTTCCGTCAAAAATGTCCAAATTTTGATCTTGTCATATTCATAACATCAACCAAAAATGTCTGAAATTGATCTTAGTTGGTCATACCAAACTTCAAACAAAAATATTTTGATGCTTGCGCTTTACAAGAGATACAATTCGGATAATGATATCTAAAATTAAACACGAATTTTTAACTTTAATCTCGTATGTCTAAAATTATTTCCATAAACTTGCAAAAGTATTAATTTAAAAATAGGAGTATTCACACAAGAACTTGCAAAAGACACATATAAATTCTTTTTTAGAATTGATATTAATTATTTAATTCAATTCTTAAGTAATTCAAATATCCACATTCAATTGACCTTAACATATTAGTACAATTTTTCAAAAAGAGTCCATTTTGTTTGAATATTTAACTATGGGGGGGACATGAGACCCCTCATATTTAATTGTGACTAGTGATCGACTATTTGGGAAATAAAACTAAGCTAGTTGGTGGAAGTTAAGTAGGCCAGATATATCATATGACATTCACACAAGAAAGAAATTGGCAAATAGCCCTTTTTGTACCACTAATTATAAATATATTTAGCCATTTTAAATAAGGAAATAAAATTTTAATAAAAATATGGATCCCTAATTAGAACAATTAAAAAGGTCAAGAAAACTTTACTTAAATTTGAGCATTTATCAGTTTTAACTCCAAGAATTGTTCTTAAAGTTTAAAGTGATACAAGTTTTGGACTTTATGAATCGTTCATAAAGTTCAAAAAACTCCAAGAAATTTTAACACTTTTGAATTCCATGAATTGCTGAAATTTAAATTGATAAAATTTTAAACTCCATTAAATGTTTGAAATTCTAGAAAAATTTTAAACATAAGTTGTTTTATGTTTTAGCTAAGAATTATCAAATTTCATTTTCACATTAAAATGTGACTACTTTTCTATTACTTTGATGAAAAAATTCATGATAGTCGATTCAAAAATCGTGATCATCACACTTCATCAATACAAATCGTCTTGCCAAGTGATCGAGTATGAATTAAAGAGTCATTCAATAGCTAGTAAAAAAACATAACTTATACATGTATTAAAATCGAGATCATAATCAAGGTTTAATTTGTATTAATATTATATTAAGTAACCCCTATTTCTTGGGTTTCTATTTGCAATCCTTTAAAAATAATTGTTAAGATATTTTGTTACTTTTCACGTGTTGTTGCTAAAATATAAATTGTGGATTTGGCCATTCACTTGACTAAATTAATAATTAAAGGTCACCTAATTTATCAACCAATCACATATAATGTGCCCCTAACTATATTAATTAATTTTTCCAAACTTATATTGTATAGGGATTTAAATAAATTTAATATTCCCAGTATGTATATATAAACTATATACATACTCTATAATCCTCCCTCCATTCAACTAATTTCCCAATTGATCCATTTTAATACACATATTTGTATATGTCATTTTTACAATTTCACTCCAAATTAATCATAAATTTTCATGTCCAAA